GCGATATTGCGCTTAAATTTACACGAAATATCACGTAAATGTATGCCAAATCTAGCGTTAATTTTATGTGCGCTATATCTCGCAGAAATTTACATGAATTTTTCGAACGTTGTAGCATGTTGCTTGTCTTGTAGATAATGTTATTATAATGTTCAACAAAGCTTAATTTTGAATCTAGTATAAAACCTAAATCTCTAACTTGATTGCACCTTTCAACTCTGTTTTGCCCTATTGTTACATGTTCTTGTCTAATAATTTTCTTTCTTGTAAATGAAATAGAATTACCAAGGGGTAGGTCACTCCGCACACCAATCTTGGGTCATCTTTTTTGTCAGTGTGCCGCAAGTATGCCGATTGTGCCAGTCATAGAGCAAGCTGCAATTGTTTGTAAAATACCGATCCCGGCAACCCGGTATTTCTGACACCTTGAATGTTTTGGTTTGAAATCGCGAGGATAAATCGGATTGAGGATGACGCGGGAAGTGGCGAGTGTGTGAAATTTTGGTGTTTTGTGATCCATAGGGTAATTAAAGTCCTGAATTTTAGTGTTTTATAATGTCCTCAAAGGCAGACCAGAAACCTAGCCTTTCGGTCGGAAAGAGTTGGAACCGGTGGGGAGCATTGTTGGAGACCGACTATAGAGGGTGATCAATAGACTTCTTTAGTTTGTTTTGTGTGAGTTGCAGCATTATTTGAATTAAGGGTACTAATGAAGTCTGATTAACTGCCTCTTCCTCTTGAGTCCACTCTAGAACCTACATTTCATGTTTAGATCTATAAGTGAACTGCTGGTCTGAGTTCCTCTAGTATATTCAATTAGAAGATGTCCCTGAACATACAGTCAAACAACACGTAATGTTCTGAACAACTTCAATGACAGTTGTCCAGCAGTGCTCCCATTTTATTTACAACAATTTAATGCCTATGAGATTGTGCCGAAGGTATGATGAAAATGTGCCGATGGATGTGCCCAAGCTGTGCCGAATATAATTTCGGCACAATGTGCTGAGTGACTTACCCCTTGAGAATTACATTTCTTCACATTAAGCTTTAATAAACTTTTTGAGCACCAAGTGTAAAAGTTATTAATTTCTTGTTGAAATACTACAAGATCAGACGTTTCACGAATTTTCAGGAAAAGTTTCATGTCGTCTGCATATATTGAGACATTCAGAATATTCAATATGTGCTCTACATCATTAACAAATAGAATAAACAGTAATGGTCCAAGATGGGAACCTTGTGGCACACCAGATGTTACTCTTTGTGTCCTACCGGTCAAGTATGACTGAATCCACACAGATAAAAATTCTGAATTTTAATAGTGATGTAAACAGTCATCCACGTAAACTTGTATTTCATTTCACGCAACCGAGCAACTTGTAAACAATGTTGTTTACAAAAATAGGCTTTTGTTTGCAATATTTGCTACATTGCATGATATGTCTCAGAACTTTACATGATATATAATGTAAACTTATATGATATGTGACGCTCCATTTATGTACATCATACTGAACAGAAATTTTCACTACTTTTTCGAACTGTGCACTTTAATAAATGTTGACCAAAACCTAACTTAGATAATTTGAATAGCAAAAGAGGGATATCAACTCTATCAAACGCTTTACAGAAGTCAGTATATAGTGCCTCAACATAATGTCCCTTATCCATTGCGTTAATAGAAAATGTTACAAAATTCAACAGATTAGTAGTCGTTGAACGTCATTTAACAAAACCATGCTGTTTGCCTGTAATTAAATGTTTAACTTGTGCAAAAACACTTTGATTTATTATAGATTCAAAGAGTTTAGGAATGCAGGACAATATAGCAACTCCACGGTAATTTTTTGCGCCTGATTTTTTTCCGCTTTTGAAAATTGGAATCAAATACGATTCCTTCCAAATTGACGATAGAAAACAGGATTCAAGAGAAGAGTTGAACAGCCAGAACAATGGCTTTACTATTTATCTCCTGTGATACTGGTCCTGCACCCTTTGATGCATCCAATGTATTTAGAGAATGTAAGATTTCTTTGAGGGTAACATTATTAACTACAATATCTCTCATTGGCTCAGGAAGGTATGAGAAATACTGGCAATCCCAGTCAATGTAGCAAATATTGTATACAAATGCCCATCTTTGTAAACAACATTGTTTGCAAGTTGCTCGGTTTCTTGAAATGAAATACAAGTCTACGTGAATGAATGTTTACATCACAATTAAAATTCAGAATTTTTATCTGTGTAGGCTTTATGAGCCTTTTGTTTTAATATTTTTGAGATTATTTATTTGCCTATTGTACCATGCTGGAGTTTTAGATTTCTTTGATTTTTTCCTTAGCTTTTTCGGTACTGTCGTCTCTAATATATCGTATACAATTTCATAGAACATATCTACTGCCGGCTCTGGGCTCGAATTTCTAATCAAATTTTGCCAGTCAAAAGAATTTAAATTGTTTTTGATAAGCTCATAGTTTGCATGTCTAAAGTCAAAATAGGTTTCCAACAAATCGCCATCCAACATTGTGGTGTTATCGTGTATAAATACGGAGAATTTTATTGCAGTATGAAATATTTTTATTTTTCCATAGAGGTGCAGGAGCCTCAATCACGCAGAAATCATCGGTCATATTCGTAAATGATAAATCTAAATAACAATTGTTATGATTTCTGACATGATTGACTTGAAAAAGTCCAATCTCTGCGCTTTTGTCAAATAAAGAATGGAGCGTTTCGTTGTCTCCAACAATCGATATCAAAACAGATTCATTTTCGTCGTCAACAATAAAATTTACTGCTCGTTGATTAAAGTCACCGTAAATATGAACATTTGCTTCAGGCTCACATTTAGAAATAATAGTATCAGCAATACTAAAAAACAATTCATATGATCCTTTTTTGGCACTTTCATTAGGAAAATACACTGTCGCAAAAATGTGAATTTGATTTCCAATAAAACATTTGACCCAAACATGATCAAACTCTCACTTGCTTGATTCAATCTTTTTCGATTCATAGTCGGTACACACTGCGATTGATTCGTATGACGCTATGTATTTGGCCACCCTGCCTGTAGAATTGACCCAATTAAACCGTGATAACCGATATTGTCGCTACCGGAAACGACAAGCAATTGTTGCAATCACGTTGGTTGCAAAAGTGGATGACCCTGAGGGTGATCTAGTTATTGCTGTTGCTGTTTATTATCTCGGCGCTGCTACTTATCACCACCCTTTAACAACTCTTGCAGGGAATTAGACGAACTACTGACTGCAGGAGAGTTCCGAGCAAAGTCCTATAGGCTTGACTTCTAATCCGGAATACGATCGTCTAGTCCGATGGATTTATTAAATTCATCCTGAAGCGAAGATCAGCGACTGTCAAAAAAGTGTGAAACCTTGACAACTATTGGAAAATCGTCAGCAAACACAGTGATGTCGTTTTATAATATATTCTGTGTCATTCTTGTCAATTTGTGCCCTAGCGTGTCAGTTTGCAGAGTTGATTACCCCTTGGAGTGGTGTCTCTTGATAGTCTTGAGCTATGCTCAGAAATCTAATGGCACGGAAAATCTGATTTTTCCGAAATTCACATACTTTGAAAATCCACAACACATGGAACAAAGGCTTCCATTTGGTGAATTTTTACTTAAATTTCACTGACGGAAAACTTTCAAATATACTTCTCTGACGTTTGTGAATTGCAGAACTTTGGGTAAATTCAAAGGTTTTCTTGCACTAATACTTATAATTTACCCCGAGATCTGCACTAATGCGTGTGCAATTCACAAACGTCAGAAAAGTCCATAAACCTGCTATTCTTCAATGCACGACGCGTAAATTTTTACACGACGCGTAATCTCAGCTAATCATGACATTTTGATCTTTGAAAACAACGTGAATGTAAAAAAAAAACAGACATACTGCGTCAGGATTTGTCATGATTATCTGAGTTTGCCAAAAAATCAAAAAATGTGTGCAGCGAAGAATTGTACCAGACTAATTTCTGACCGGCTATTTTGACAAACACCTTCTCGAAAATTGGACGATCAACAACAGAGGGATTTTCGTACATTATAATTAGCTTTCGAAGTGAAAATTCACCAAATGGAACACAGTCCAAGTCTCGTAGTAAAAAAGGTTTCAAGTGAAATGGTAATGACATTATCTCCGCAATCCATAAAAAATATAAGCTGAAAAAGGTTTTTCATGAAAATTGTCAAGATGGAGGAATATTGCAAATAAAAACGCATAAACAATTCTTATCTTTCACCGATAAAAATTTCGCAGTGGCATCTCTTCCCGTTTTTGAGTATTTACCGTAAAACTGTATAACAATAAATACAAACTTTTGCCTGGAACTCTTCCGAAACAGCACACAAGTCTGGCTCTAAACGACTTTCATATAGTTTTATTTTGCAAGGGCTTTGAAAACCTCAAAACAAATGTATGCCCCACCTAAACTTTTGCCCACTTTACTAAGGTAAAGTTTCGAACCCGTGTTCTGAATCTAGCAACGATTACCCTCTCAATAATAGGCTCCTATTTGATGAGCGTGGCATTAGCCTGAAGGCTAAGCAGAAAACCAACTCCACGACGCTCGGGATCTTTTTCAACTCGAATATCGGAATATAACAGTACCTGATCGGAATAGGCTGTTCCAACGGTAGTCAGTGATAGTTTACCCTGGTGGGCTAACATTGATACATACTCGGGTGAGCCCTCACTTACTCAAGCGGTTCTCAAACATCGTCTCATTTACAATAATTTCAGGTCACTTCTTGGAGCACTCAATTAAAATCAGTATAATAAATTGACGTAACATTGAATTTAGGATCAAATATTTATCTAATCCAAATGCATTTCGAAACAACAGATGCACACAGATAAATCTACAGCAGAAAAGCAATCTAAGCCAAACTTAATCCGTTTTCTCCATTTACTCAACTGTCCTGGTCGCAAGCAAAAACTATTCCCTACGTTCAAATTTAATTGCAGTCACCCCTTGAAGTCAAAAGCAATTTTATCAACATCGATGCATTGGCCGAGTTTATTCAGCGAAAATGTAATTTGCTGCTGCGGGGTATCCATCGACGTCCCAACGAACCAGCGAAGCCCAACGCCGGACGCAGTGGCCATCAACGACAACAGCTGCAGCATGAATCCAACGCCATCATCAGCAGTCTCCGATTGATATTCCGCCGCGATGAGGAATTTATAGCATTGACCTTGCTCAGAGTGGAAACGTGCCCGGAGTGTCAAGCGATCCTGGGACCGGTCTACGAACGATTTTTGTCCGGTTCTCAACTGTCGCCGTCCTCCGTCTTCGGTACCAACAATGTAGAAACTTACGGCCGGCTACTGTTGTGCTACGTCAAGTGGAAACGGCTGTACCGGATTGAGGATGCCAGTGGCCAGTGGGAGCGCATCGATACAATTGCTCTCGCAACGCTTCCGTACGATTTTCCGCGGGCCATCAAGCGAAGGGAGCTGGCAATCAAGGCACTCTTTCCTCGGGTCGCTACCGCCGTGGGACGCCGCAACGGAAAGTCGGCGAAAGTCAGCGTCACCGGGCAAGTGTCAATTATTCTAATGTCTATTCCTAAACCAGATGCAGTTGTGTTCCCACTTCCGAGTATATTTTTGTATGAACTATAGAAACTTTAGTTTAATTTTTAATCGCTCATATTTTCTACGGACCATTATAAAAGTTCTCAGAATCAGAACTGTCCCCATCGATCGGGAACACTATTTCTTGCTCACAAAAGGTTTTGTTTTTCCACCTCCATCCTGTTTAATAATGAATGTCGTAGCGTTCGGTTCGATTTTCGCTCATTCCATTTCCTTTTCCTGTTCACAGGGCATTACTGAACTCGAAGCACGTGTGGGATAATATTCAGGAAATGTGCTTGCAATTCCTGGCCATTTGCTGTGATGGGCGATCCAATCGGGAGAAAGCACAGCCGGTAAGTACAGAGCATTTGCGGAACACACAACACTCTGTCTATGAAGCTGATCGAGAAAAAAAAAACAGCGGAAATGCAGCATCTGAACTGCAACGCAGGAAAAGCTGCACCGAGCCACTAAATCGAATGATTTGGCGTTTTAACGCAAGGCAGCAAGCGACCTCTCCCTTTGATGATTTGCACATTTAAGAGGTGTAAATGGGTTTCAATAAAATTCCGACATCAAGAGTAATTATCGTAATGAATGGCATAGCTTTCTACAGCTTGATGCATCCGCTAGGTCCTTGATGATGGTTGATTAATTAAGAATAAATGAGGTACTTAACTGATGAGGTTGACTGATTAAGAAAAGAAGCTTGAAAGGAGAAATTTAATTCATTGATGAATAAAATAACTCTTCAATTTAGTACCAGAATCGGCAAACTAGATTAAAGGATTACAACGTCAGTACAATCTTGGCTGTCGATGGTATAACGATTTTGTCTTTATATAGTTAGTAATTTGTGGCTGATTTTTATGCGTACAAATTTTTGACTTATCGGCGTCAAATCAAACGCCAAACAGCTTAAAAATACCGTAAAATGTGTTGATTTTCCAAGTTGAAACTGGAAATGGAATATTTTGAAATCTGATCAGGGAGGTTATTCTGTGCAAGTTTAGAAAACTTTTTTTTTCAATAATGCAATATGCAATCCTCTGAGAAGCTAATAAAATTCTAGAAAAAATCGCATGTAAGCATAAATGCAAAAAAAAAATGGTGTTGCTTTGTAAATTTTTCTGAATTTTTCGAAAGGTCTTCGAAATTTGCAGGACTTTTCTGAAGTTTGTATTTATTTTCTAAATTTTTAAGGTATTGTTTTTAGGTTCTTAGAAGTTCTTTTCCTTCCGCAGATTTTTTTTCTGAAGTTTGCACATTTTCTCTGGATGTTCACTTTTCAATTCATATATTTTCTGTCAAGTTTGCCTAATTTCTGTGATGTTTATAAAACTTTTCTGAAATTTGCGAGCTTCTAAAAAGTTGGAAATGGAGTTCACGTAGCATATGGGATTTGACCTAATAGGGACCAACATGGAACATCTCGCGATCCTGGACATATAGAAGGTTACTATCTTTGGCAAAGTTGTTCAATAGATCAAGACCTAATGGTTGGTGGACAGAAGTTCGGAATTTTCTCACCGATTGGCGCTAGCGTGCTTGAATTTGTGATTGTGAAAATAGAAAAAAAATAAAAACGAAACAAACTTTTCACTTGTAGCAAATAAAATGTTATATATAAATGTTAAATGTATATTGTTCGTATAACATATTGCATTGAACATAAAACGAAGAACCTTTAAAGTAAAACACAAAACGTAAAATATACATTTAAACACAAAACATGAACCATGAGAAATCAAACAAAAAAACAAAACCAGACACAAAATCATAAAATATAGAGCATGGAACATAAAACATGTAACATGTAACATGTAACTTGAACCATGTAACATGTAATATATAGCATGAAATATGTAACATACACACTTAGTTTTTTCTACCGAGCTCGGCTGTGCAATTCTCGACAACAAAAGTTTTACTGATGTCTCAGCAAACATTTCATTTGTTTGCTGAGATTCAGCTTAGCATTACCCGAGACTAAGCAATCAAATGTCACGTTTGCTGAGATCTCAGTGAAACTTTTTTTTTGCCGAGATTTGCACAGCCGAGCTCGGTAGAAAAAATTAAGTGTGTATAACATGTTAAATGTTACATGAATCATGTAACATGTAACTTATAACAAGAAACATGAAGCATGTAACACATGACACGTGACATATGAAATGTAACATGTAACTAGTAACATAAAACACGTAACATAAGACAAATAACATGTAACATGTAACGTGTAACAAGAAACGTGTAACGTGTAACAAGAAACATGTAACATCACTTATTCAAGCACACTACAAATTTCCGCACTGCTGTCCACCAACCTTTAAGTCTTGGTCCACAGAACAACTTCGTCGAAGACAGCAACTTCCTAGATCGAAATAATATCAAGATATGAACAAGGGAATCAAAATTCAAGCACACTAGCACCACGTAGTGGGAAAATTCCAAACTTATGTTCATCAACCATTAGGTCTTGATCCTATGAACAACTTTTCCAAAGACAGCAACTTCCTAGATGGCAAGGATTTCAAGATATCACATAAAAAAGAAATCACAAATTCAAGCATCCTTGCGCCGCGTAATGAGAAAATTCCGAGCTTCTGTCCATCAGTGATATGGTTTTGGTCCACTGAAAAACTTTGCCGAAGAAAGCAACTTCCTAGATGGCAAAGATTTCAAGATATGACACAAACAAGGAAATCACAAATTCAAGTACACTAGCACCGTGTAGTGAGAAAATTTCATCTAATGTCCAACAACCATTAGGACTTAATCCACTGAACAACTTTGCTGAAGACAGCAACTTCCTAGATGGCAAGGATTTCAAGATTTCACGTAAAATAGGAAATCATCAACACATTTACACTAACGCCACGTTGCAAGAATTTACCGAAATTCTGTCCACCAACCAATAGGTCATGATCCACTGAACAACTTTGCCCAAGGCAGCGATCTCCTAAGTGGAAAGAATTTTAATGTATCACAAAAACAAGGGCATCACTAATTCATTTAAACTAGCGCTACGTAGTGAGAAAATTTCGAACTTCTGTCCACCAACAATAAGGTCTTGATCCATTGAACAACTTCTCCGAAGAAAGCAACTTCCTAGATGACAAGAATTTCAAGTTATCACAAAGACAAAGGCATCATTAATTCATGCACACTAGTGCCGCGTAGTGAGAAAATTCTGAACTTCTGTCCACCAACCTTTAGGTCTTGATCCACTGAACAACTTTTCCGAAAACAGTAACCTTCTATATGTCCAGGATCGTGAGGTATTCCACGTTGGTCCCTCTTTTAGGTCAAATCCCATATGCTACGTGTGCTCCATTTCGCGAATTCGATTTACGCGGTACGTACAGCTATCCCCCGAAGAACGCCTTACCCACTGAGTTCTACCCACCGCTTTTTATTTATTTATTTGTCGTCAATCAGTGTAGACCGTTTTACAATTGTTGTCTTAAGTGCTATTTTTACAATTTTGTCTTTGTTTATATTTTTTATAATATGTCTTAAGAAAAAGTTAAAACATTACTTCTAGTTGACGTTATGCGACGAATTAAAATATTGCTTTAATTTAGTTTTTGTCATTGTAAAGTCAATGTTATCGCAGTGCTTATTATATGTATCCATCATTTGGTTCAAGGGTCCAAATTTGGCATAATTCGTACGATGACGATTTGTAGCAAATATATTTCTGTTTCGTAAATGCCTAGATGGTGTATATAAATTTAAGGATGACAATAGTTCTATTGAATCAATTCGATGTGATACGATATCGTTTACGAAAGAAATCATAGCAAATTCACGACGTTCTTTTAATGTTTGGATATTTATGAGCATACACCGAGCTGTGTAAGATGGCAGAGGAAATACAGTCCAACCTAACTTGCGGAGTGCATACAATAGAAACTGCTTTTGAACGGACTCTATTCTTTCTTCGTGTGTGATTGAAAAAGGTGACCAAACTATGCTGCAATATTCTAATATCGATCTTACATAAGCAATGTACAATGTTTTTATCGTATACGGATCGTGAAAGTTATAGCAGAAACGTTTTATGAAACCAAGCATGTTGTTAGCTCTGTTAATAATTGTGTTATAATGATCGGTGAAAGTAAGTTTTGAGTCCAAAATAACACCTAGATCCCTGACTCTATCACATTTTTCTACGATCTGGTTTCCTAAAGTGACTGTTATATCGGGTAGCTTTTGTTTTCTACTAATGGTAATGGAGTTACATTTTTTTATATTTAATTGTAGCAGGCTTTTTTGACACCAAGTATGGAATATTTGAATTTCCTCTTTGAATGTGATGATGTCTTTGGCATCTTTTATTTCCAAAAAAAGTTTAATGTCGTCAGCATATATTAAAACTTTCAATTTCTTAATAATGAAAGATATGTCATTGACGAAGAGAATAAATAAAAGTGGTCCTAAATGGGAGCCTTGAGGAACTCCTGAAGTGACATCAACGGGATTTGATATCTTTCCTTTGTATTTTACTATTTGATAACGGTCAGTTAAATATGATTCAAGCCACTTGAGGAGTGCGTAATGAATTCCCATTTTTTGAAGTTTAAAAAGAAGCATGGGTATGTCAATTCGATCAAACGCTTTGCTGAAATCTGTATACAACACTTCTACATGGTTTCCGTTATCCATTGCATTCAAGGAATAATTAATTAATTCCAGCAAATTCGTAGTTGTTGAACGGCCTTTAAAGAAGCCATGTTGCATAGTAGTTATTCTGTTTTTAATTTGAAGAAAGAGTTTTTCATTTACAATCGCCTCGAAAAGTTTCGGAATGCAAGAGATAATAGCTATACCACGATAATTACGTATGTCGGATTTTTTACCCGATTTAAAGATAGGCACTAAAAACGAGTTTTTCCATATTTTAGGGAAGTTTCCGCATTCCAGTGACATATTGAAAATCCAAAATAATGGAGCAGTAAGTTCAATTGCTAAAGTTTTCATAAAAACTGGCGGAACACCGTCAGGGCCAGGACCTTTAGATGCATCTAAATTGTTTAAACCCTTTAAGATATCATGAACCTTGATTTGACTTACGCTGATGTCACTTGAAAATTCTGGATATGATTCAAAATATTCACGGTCACGGTCCTCTTCTGAAAACGTAGTATATATTTCTTGGAAGAAATTTGCAAACAAATTGCATATATCATCCGAGTTCTCACCTATCCTATCGTCCAAATGCATCTTTGAGGGAAAATTATCAGATTTTAATTTGGTTTTCACATAATTGAAGAAGTTTCTAGGACAAGATTTTATTTCAAGTTCAGTTTTTAAATTATACTCCTCAAATGCCATATTCACGGCCAAA